ACCCAGCGGAAGAACCCTTCGCCATGCTTTCGGGAAAAAGCAGGTAAGGATCCACCTGGTGAGAATGTAAACTTAAACCTAGTTTTTGAAGCAAAATTATGTGTCACGCAAAAAACGTTTTGCCACTGCTGTCGTCGAGAAAAACGAACAATATATGTTCGATATTGAACAAATTGGCTTGAAGACTACAGCAAAGCACACAAGACTAGCACAATAATTGCAATGAACACCAATAGTTTTCATTTCAACTCTGGGCGGGAATAAACTGCTTAGAAGGCAAACTTGAAGATGATAATGCTGGCAGAAGCTTCATTGGATGAAAATAAGCACCTGCCGTGGATCGCGCAATCAACAAAGAAGAATATATTGTTCGGTATGTCAGCGGGAAACGGACTGTAGGTAACAAAAGAATTACGTAAGATCTACACACAAATTGGCCCCAAACACATTAGTTTCCATTGCAGTTCGAAGCAGGCATCAAACAAAACAACAACACAAAATGTCAGTAAACTCTAGCACAGGCAACATCACATCCAGAAACCCGATCTTTTTGAACATAAACAAAACAAAGTATCATCGAATCCAGCTATTTGGGTTGCTGCCAATATAGACTATAGCACATGGGGACCACTCAGGAAGGACATGAGCAAGCATCAATGGGCCTTTCGGTGTTTAGTTGCAAAGTAGATAGACAATTCAGACAAAGTTAACCCACGATGCCTGCGCCAAAATTGGCATGAAAAAGACATAGGTTTCATTGCAACTCTGGGCAAGCATAAGCTTACTTGGTAGGAACAGAAACTTCTTCGTTTTAAACAAACAACTTTGTCGAGCAGCGATAAGAAATGCAATTGCACCAGTCGAAACAACCAGGTCATCAGACATGTGGGAGGGGGGGGATCAGACATGTGAGCGGTGTCCAAAACGTGCCATGGATCTAGAGGACGTATCATACTGCTTACGCGCAAGCTTACGGTTCTCTTACGCCGCCCAGGATCTGGCTTATGCGCAGCGCACTTGGAAGCCGCACCTCACGCGCCAGCTTACACGCGTCTGTTTTTGACACCCTTCCACGTGATTTGCTCACGCGCGCCTTTCTTCCTTGCAGCGGCAACAGCAGGAAGCGCTCAAAACGTCTAACCTACCGTTACGTCGCGTCACCCCGCTTACGGTGGGAGGGGGGGGGGGGCGGGGCCACATTAAAGCAGGTCTCGCGTGAATCTCCAGTGAGAAGCAAGAGGATGCCGAGCGAATTCTCTGGACATGAGGCCTGTGACAGAGCTCAACGCAGTCCCAAAGATGACGTTGCGGCAGCGTGCAAGACATCTGAAATCTCCGAACTTGACAAAAGCATGCAAAAACATGCAAATCAAACATGCAACAGCATCCAGCTCTTTTGTAGCTTTTTCCTGGGCTCAGCATCACAGCTGTGGCTCAGCACCGCAGCAGAACAAAGCTGGCCGTCAGCAGTCGCCACGGCAACAAAGCGGTTGATACCTGTCCCAACTCAGCATGCGCCCTGAAGTCGAACTGTTTGAAGCTGTACACGCTGTACATATGGCCCACGGCCACGTTCGGCCACGTGGCTCATGTTACCACGTTCAAGACCAATGAGAATTGACTCAGAATGGCATGGAAAGGGATCTTAGGCACTCTCACTCCTGAGCCGAATAGGCTGCACTCATCTCTGCCCTTGACAAGCCCTGCCCAGCCACGGACGTGCGGAAAGCGTTCCACCCCAAGCCGCCTGAAGAACCACCCCCTCTACGGCCAAACCCCGCGCTGGAGCTGGGAGCTGACGTGGGCCGGCGGTAGGCAGCAAGGATGTCAGCGCGCGAGTAGCCTTGGCCGCCCATGCTCTTCTGATGCTCGTTCCAAGGGTTGGCCTGGCGGATGGTTGCGCCCAGTGTGCCACTCAAGGAGCTCTGGCCGCCCGTGCTCTTCCGTTGCTGCAAAGCACTTGGGTGTGAAGAGGCATTGTGAGAAGAGTCGCGTGTGTTGCAAGAGCCGCCAGAGTAGGCCTGCTTGATCTGCGCTCGTGAGTAGCCTTGGCCACCCATGCCCTTTTGATGCTCGTTCCAAGGGTTGGTCTGTTGGGAGGTAGTCGAGCACTGGGCACCATGAGGAGAACCACGGGTGTGACCAGAAGAGCCGCCAGTACTGCGAGCGCCGCCAGAATAGGCCTGCTTGATCTGCGCTCGTGAGTAGCCTTGGCCACCCATGCTCTTTTGATGCTCGTTCCAAGGGTTGGTCTGTTGGGAGGTAGTCGAGCACTGGGCACCATGAGGAGAACCACGGGCGTGACCAGAAGAGCCGCCAGTACTGCGAGAGCCGCCGGAATAGGCCTGCTTGATCTGCGCTCGTGAGTAGCCTTGGCCACCCATGCTCTTTTGATGCTCGTTCCAAGGGTTGGTCTGTTGGGAGGTAGTCGAGCACTGGGCACCATGAGGAGAACCACGGGTGTGACCAGAAGAGCCGCCAGTACTGCGAGAGCCGCCAGAATAGGCCTGCTTGATCTGCGCTTGTGAGTAGCCTTGGTTCCAAGGGCTCGAGCTTGCTGAGGTTTCTTGCCCCCAGCCACGCTGGCGTGCCTCTGCGTACGACATGAACTTCCCATCAGAGTGAATGGGGCGGCCTGCCGCATTGACCCGCACTCCAGGCGGCGCGTGATCCACCTGCCCTACCCCTTGAATGACCTGGTCGATGGCGGCATAGTCCACATTGACGGTGTTGGCCAGCAAGTGAACCTGGAATAGCTACTATGGCTAGTATTGGCACATTCTCAGCCAACAGCTCTTGCATTCTTCAGCATGCTTTCGCGCTTCTTCAATCCACTAAGACCAGAGTTGCTCTTGGTGTCCCTTTGATCCCTGAGTGTTCTCCACCCTACATATCTCAGCTAAACTGTTCACTGCGTACAAATGGCAAGAGGCCCAATGAGGCCATTGCCAATAGGGCAGCGCGTGTCCACGACTCTCGAAGCCCTTCAAGACAAGGTCTCTGATCTGCGAGTTGGACGGCACGGCCCACTCGTCGCGGCTCACAAAGTCAGAGGTGGCGTAGACGCTCTGACATCCCACCTCCGGAAAACACCAAGTTCAAGAAAAGCTGTTGCAAGCTACACGCCTCACACGTTCTTGATTCTTGACCCAACAAGTTTCAATCGTGTTCAATGATTTGGCCTCTTGTAGCTTGGCTTTGTCAAGCTCGCTCCAAGAGCTGATGCCCAAGCTGCTCTGAGCCGCGCTGGACATGTCTTGGCGGATGACCAAGCTTTGGCCAAGCTCCACAGCGGCTTCCAGCACAGCGCCATCCGCCAACTTGGCTCCGTTCGCCTTGCCCTCGCAGTCCTGAGGACTCCCTGCAAAGTAGATGAACGGCCCAAGCCTCAGGAAAAACAACTTGAGCGCTTGAGCACCTGCTGCAAAGATCAGCAAGAATCAGGATGATAGCACGATGCTCTCCTCTCACTGAAATGCTCCACACCGAGATCCATACATGCCCCTCTTCGAGTGGTGGAACGTCCTGCGACCGTGAGAGCGTAAAGTCTCTAAAGCTTGAACAATTTGAGTCGCTTGAAGCGAGGAGAAGCTCCCTACCCGGTCTCCCGCTCTTGATGATGCTCTCGGCAGCAGCTTGGCTGGTGAGATGGAAGCTCTTTCTTGGGCCCTTCCACTGAACCTGCTGCGCGTGGAATCTGCAACGCAACATGGACCCCATGTGTTTAGGTCGTGGACATGCCATCTCCATTTCCCCATCCCGCCTCAAGCCCACTGGGTGTCGCGCAGACTGGTGCCTGGAGTGATCCTGGAGAAACCTGCGCGTCATTCGTTTCAACGCCATTCAATCGGTAAACACCCTGCAGGAGATGAAAGAACAAGCCACGGCCGGGATCAATATTAACAAGACTGACGAATCAGCAGGCAGCTCGGGCTTTTTTGCATCAGGTGCTCCCTGGGCCACAGGCCTTCCGTAGATTCACGTAGATTCAACTTCACAAAGCTCATGTGTTTCCAACTGTACAACCAAGCCTCACATGATGATTCCAAGCTTGTCCACACTTTTCCAAGCCACGCTCAAACGATTCCATCCGACACCAATGGCCATGCATGCTTTCACAGCTCACAACAATTTTTGTTGGTGTCAGGATGGCTGGACAAGTTCCAGCGCCCGCTCCTCAGAACGTTCACCAAGTTCTTTGGTTCCACACCCTTCTTCGTCAGGCAGTCTGCAAGCATCTCTTCTGTGGGAACGCACTTCGCTCGGGCCTGACACTCATCCAGCAGCTGACTCGAAATGTTCATCTCGATGGGTGTGCGCTTGTCGGAGGCCACGCCTCCTGTCTCCTTGGCCAGGTGGTCGTGCAGGGAATTTGCGTCCCCCACGCTCAGGTTCCGCCGCTCAGTGTGTCCACCTCGGTGGATAGCCTCCACCTGGTTCTTCTTCAGAAACTCATTCCCTCAGCTCAAAGTCTTCGTTGGCCAACTCATTGAACAACGTGACGCGCCGCATGAGCTCTCCAAGCGCTCGTGACGTCGCCTGGGTCTCGGCTGCGAGCGTGCTGTTGACGACCCGGTGGCTCTTTCCGCTCTTCGAACCTAGCACATTACACCAGGCCCCCTTGTCACAAGCCAAGTTCTGCTTGAAACTGCCCTCCTTTACGTTGCAATGGCTAGCATCTGACACTACGCCCCACCTCAGCTTCTGCATAGGAGTGTGGACTGCACCCTCAATGCTAGGGAAGCCTCCTGCTTCACCGCCTTCACTGCCTTATTCAGGTCTTTGATGTCCTCGATGGTAAGACTTGCCATAGAGGACGCTGTCAAGGAAGAAGCCGCTGCTGCGTCTGGGCGTCCTTCTTTGGCTGCCCACGCAAGAGCACCTGCCGCTTCTCTGGTCCTCCGCTTCTCCTCTTTTTTTTGTTGCCAGCTCTGCGTTGCGCTTCCTCCTCTCTGGGGCCAGCTCGACCTACGAAGCCTCTCCTGCACATACTTCTCCATGTCCAAGTAGAAGCTGCCTTGACCATCAGCTCGGATTCTCCCGTTAAAGGCGCGTCCTTCGGCGCGAACACAAACTTGCCGAACTGAAAATGGTTTTCAACTGGTCCATGGCCTTGTAGCGATTGCCGTCACCGACTGGCAAAATGTCATCGATTTGAATCACCATGACACCGCTCAACTCTTTCTTCACGAGCTTCATAAAGATGGTGGGATCCAAAGCGGATTGCTTGTGTCCTAGGTCCTGGACAATGACCTTCTTGAGAGACGCAGGGGCGTCTCCAAGCCCGTGGGCTCCTGCCAGGACTTCACTTCAATCAGCTGTCCCTCCTCCATGTTGCTCAGGCCACCCTTCGGCTGCTCTGCGAAACGCCGCCCCTCCTTCCTCACGAGGCGGTCTGATTGCATGAAGGCGTTTCGCAAATCCCCCGCTGAGGCTCGCGTACCTCTGCACGCGGCCAGCTGCAGAACCGCAGCGATGTTCTAGCTCCTCGAACTCCTCTCTGAGCAGCCCATAAGCTTCATGCTCATCTGTGGTTGCGAAGCGTAAGTGCTCCTTGCAGCATTTCCAAGCGAATCTGCGCAAATACAGAGCACAAGCAAGCGCGCGCAAGCCAGTCAAGCGTTGATCACCCAAATATGCGCGCGCCCCGCCGGGCACCCCCCGGCCCAAAGCGATCTTCTCGCACAGTCCTGCGGATCTCGATCACCTCGCCCTTCAGCACCTTGCCTGCCTGAGCTCGTCCTCAGCTTCATCTCTTCCATCTTCTCGGCGCTGACCTTCCACCGGGAACACATTGCGCACCACACCTCCCGGAATGACTTTTTCCCGGCTCCACGTAGCGGTCGTGGAGGATGGTCGCTTCCTTCTCTGCCTTGATTCGACATTTCCTCGGGGCCCGGGGCCTGTCTTAAGTCTTGATCAGCTCGAAGTACTCCTGCCCCTTGTAGGCTTTCTTCCCTGGTGGCATCGAAGTGGTTGAACATGCGGTTGATGTCGATGGCCCTTTGAAGATCGAAGCTTCCGTGACCTCCTGATGACGACATCCATCCCGCCCAGGCACATAACCACCTCCGCGCCCACGCGAGCTTGCGACCCCTTCCATGAGCTTTACCACCTGGTAGAGGTTTCCAACTTATTCCATGATGATGACGCGCCAATTCCTCAGCGCCCTTCTTGAACTCACTTCTTGGGTCTTGTTGATGGGAGTAGAAGACGAGATTCCCTCCTCGTTTCCTCACGATCCTCTGCAGCAACTCCATGCCTCGCCACGGTGAGGTAGAGGATGTGGGCCTGCGCGCGCGTCTGCTTGATCTTGTTCACGGCTGCGGCATCTTTGCGAAACTGAGCCTCGCGTCTCCCATGTGCTGCAGCTTTTTGGGGAAGGGTCCAACCTTGACTCGCAAAATTCAACAAATTCACTGCGACATGCCCCCGTGTGCAAGTAGTGCGGTGGCTCCTCGAACCCGAACTTGTGGGACTTCAGTTTGCCGCCCTCTAGATCGATCGTGGCCCCCGTTTCTTCAGCAGTGGTATTGGTAACAGAAGAGGCACTTCTTCCCGAGATCAACCCGTTGATTCTCCCAATGCCGGCTGGGATCTCCACCACGCCACACACCAAAGCCTCTCCTCCTGTGCCTCGAGCCTGTGCTTGCTTGGGCATCCACACTGGCCTAAGGTTGACCTTCTTCAGCTCTCCAGACAACTCACTGAGGGCAGCCCTTCCAGTGAGACCTGTGTCAACCGCCCCTTGACGTGGATTCGTGACCAAACCCGTGAACTGTGATCGGCATGTTCTCCAGTTCCCCGCAACACAGGTTGGTAGGCTGCTGTAGACAGGACCTTGCCCATCTTTTTGTAGTCCAGAAAGCGCACCACCCCCCTACACGTTTGGCAACATTCTAAACAAGCACCCGAAAACAGGCATTTTAAAATTATCTTGAGACTACCGCACGGCAAGCGCGCAGGACACGCAGACGCAGGCCGCCATCGCGGGCGCGCTGCTGGCCTACCGGGCGGGCCCGGACCAGGACGTGTTCACAACCAACCAAATCACCTCGGCGCTGGTGGCGCACCGTTCAGAAACAGTAAAACATTTTTTGATAACTAATTATTTTATTACAGTGTACCAACAATTTATATATATATATATAATTCAAAACTTTCAATACATCTAAACATTTTTTCTTAAACCAGAATTTTCTGAAATATGTTTCAAACATGTTTCTTAAAAAGAGATAAGTGTATACAACATTTTAATAATTATCATTCAATAAGAAACAACAATTTGAATAATTCAATGAGAAGACTTAATAACTATGTGTTTTGTCAAAGTATGGATATTCCGTGTTGGGCGTGGTGCTCCTTGTAGATTTTAAGTGGTTTTATGTTGGGTTTCTGGGGTAAGACCATCGGCGCCGCCCCGCTCGCGTCGTTTACATCCTGACCGGCTCGCGTTGGTGCTCCCTGCATGTTTATGTTCTATCCGTTGTGAGTTGCGCATTGCTGATATCTGAGACATGGCTTACCACGTCGCTTTTGCTCAAGTGCTAGTGAAGACAGCCCCGCTTGCAAGTGGTGAGAATGTTTTTTTCATCCGTCGCGGCGATGGCTTCCTGCCAGTGGACAAGGAGCCGGGTTTGGCTCTGACCCCTGCCATCATCAACTCGCCAATGGTCACTCCAACACGTGAACAGATTGAGTCGCTGTCCGTTGAACAAATCAAGGCATTTGGGTACACTCTGCCAAAGGCGAGTTCGTGACCTTCACCTTGAATCAGTGGGACGAGATTAGCGCTCACGACACCTACTTCACACCCATCATGATTGCCCCGGAACAAGTCATGGAGACGAAGACCTTTGATGAGATGGTGTCCGCTCCGCTGACGCTGTCTATGGCAAACTCCTTGACCATTGAACAGCTCATGGCTCCGACCCCAAGGATGGCAGGAAGACCATTGCCACACGCCTTGTGAACTACTGGGCTTTCAACTACGAGCGCTTCACTGTCCCCAGCAAGGTTTCGGACGAGAACAGCGCGGACAGCAAGGAGGGCGTCATTCCGGACACGGACTCGGACGAGGAGGGCATTTTCAGCGACGCGTGCAACGCGGACTTAGAGGCGAAGTTTGAGCAGTTTTGCGGGATGATCCCCTTGGACTTTGAGTTCTATGTCAACAGCGCCGCGGACTTCTTTGCCAATCCGGTTAGCGTCGCGGTGTTTACCTTCAAGGGCGACGCCAGCATGTTCAGCATTGAGATTGACAACCTTGTGTCCACAGGGCTCGACATGAAGCAGGAGGTGTTGCGCCACATCCACAACTTCGCAGAGAAAAAGGGCAACACAACCACCATGACCATCGACGACTTCGTGCTCACAAACGGTTGAAAGGTCATCCCTGGTTGTGAATGGAGACTTTGTGAGGGAGGTTTCCTTGGTGCTTCGCTTGCGGGGAGGTGCTCTAACCCACGGCGTCATCAAAACCATTGTCAAGTCAAAGGCTAGCAACAAGACCGCGCAGTTGGATGCTTCCAAGTTCCAGAATGCCTTCTCTCACGCTACCGGATTGTCAGGGGCTTCAACTGACAACATCAAGTCTATCATCAACGGGCTTCCTGTGGAGACCTTGAAGAAGATGCAGAACTACATTGAGCATGACCGCGCCCCCAACAAGTCCAAACCAGCAGGACTGGCAACGCTTGCAGAGATGGAAGAGGTAAGGGGCAAGTTGAACGCCGCCATTGAGGATGCGAAGGGGTTGATGGTTGCATTTCTCCAGAAATCCTGCGGTGATGGAAACGATGGCATCAAAATGGTCAAGGTTCTTCAGATGATTGGTGATTGAGGAACTGTCCAAAGTTTCACAAGTGACATCTGCAGATGCCACAATCACAATTGAATCAACAGTGCTGACATACCACCCCTGAAAACAGAATGGGTACATATGCCAAACAAACATACCACCCCTGAGAACAGAATGGGTGCATATGTCAAAGCCACATAACACCCCTGAAAAACAACATATGTTGAAACAACATCCACCTCCTGAAAAAACCTTTTTTATTCACCATTGTTGAATCAACATATGTCGGCTGGTGCTGTGGCAGTGCATTCAAAGACCTTGCAACACTGCTTTTCTGTTCGGTAGCGCAGTCTGGACAGATGGCGGCACGCAAGAGGTGGAAAAGAGTTGTTGCAGGTCATGTTTTGGACATGCTGTGGCATATTGAATTGAATTGTTTGTATCTGCGTCCGTGCTAGGTTGATGAGCGAGCACGACAAGCTTGGATGCGCCCCCCTTTGACTGGGGGACAGGGCGGGGCTGGCTTGGGTTTTGGGTTTGCTGGTGGGTCGCTGTCGGGTCGTGGTTCTGGGTCGCGCCCCCCACCCCTCCGTCCCGTTTTTCTGCGCAGGTATCTACTTCCTGCGCTACCTGCGCCGGTCCGGAGCCTTGCGCGGAGCCTTCGGGGCGTGCGTGTGTTTGTTTGTTTTTGTTGGTGTGGGTGCGTGTGTGTTTGGGGTCGTTTAAGGTTGCCCTCTTGGATTTACCTCTCGGCGTTTTTTTGGGGCGTGGGTGTGTTAAAGGCTTCGCCTCATCGCGATGAATGCAATGATGGTGGATGTTGTGATGACCACCTTAATTCAAACCCATGAGTAATTCAAGTATTAGCCCACTAGGTATTTTATATAGGTCTTCCTGTTTATGTTTTACATAATTATCGCCCCAATCTTCCTTGTTTCCATTCGGAAGCTGTTGCGCAGTTTCAATTTGTTTGTTATTCCTGATGCTGCCACAATCCTTATTGCATAATGGTTTCGGTTTCCAAGTTGAAATGTTTGTCCAGAGCCTAGTTCTCTTCCGATACGGCATTCCATATTTGCAGTAATCAACATCAACAAAAATCGAACTCATCCATAAACTCCTGATTTTTCAAGAGCCCAGTTTGTGGGTTTCCTATTACGAAATATCGCGGCTTGAAATATTTGATAATCTCAATGGTTT